ATGCCTGGCTTAAATCTAATGTAGTCATTTGTATTATCTTTTTTTCTATATCCTACTGCATTTCATTTGCTAAAATGTTTATCCATATTCATATATGCAATTGGTTTATTCTTTTTACTACTTGTACTATCTTTGGGCATCAGGATAAATCTGGCTGCATAGATGAGTGGGCAAGTATTTTGGCTTCTATTTTCTGGAAGTTTTTTGTCATATTAGCATGATCTGTTCCTTGAATGTTTGGTAGAATTCACCCATAAAACTGTAGTATATGCCTAGTGAGGCCGAGTACTTCTGCTTCAATTTATTTAACAGTTTTAAGGGAAAATTCAGACTTCTAGTTCTCCTGATAAGGGGCACCTAGGTAGCTCAGTTGGTTAAGCATCTGCTTTCAGCTCAGGTCATGATCTCAGGGTCCTGGGATTGAGCCCTCGCATTGGGCTCCTTGCTCAGCAGGGAGCCTGCTTCTTCCTCTGCCCCTCCCCCCACTTGTTCTCTCTCTCTCTCTCTCGTTCGCTCGCTCAAATAAACAAATAAATAAAACCAAAAAAAATTGTTTACCAAGATATACTATTCTAAGTATTTGTTTTGTATTAAATTTAAAATTAGGATCTATGGCTTTAGAGGGATTTCTGCAAGTTTCTTTTAAGTCTCTGTTTTATCTGTCATTATGGTCCTTTTTCATTCCTAACACTGTTTTCTTTTACTCCCGCCCCCCTTTGTTTTGCTCTTCATCAGTCTTGCCAGAGTCTTTCTAAAGAACCCATCTAGGGCTTTTTTCATCATTTTCTATTTCGTTGTTGCTGTCCACGTTGACTTCTGTGCTTATCTTTGTTACTTCTTCCTTCTCTCCTTGTGCTAATTCTATTGTTCCTTTTTTAACTTCTGCTATTGTAAGCTTAGCCTGTTAATTTCCAGCTATTTTTCTTTTTATGTACCTTCTGTATTGTTATATTTGACCATTAAAACTGTTTTTTAAAAAAATCCTCACACATTTAGAAATTTAAAAACACACTAAGTAACTGATAGGTCCAAGAATATAATAATGGGGTGCCTGGGTGGCGCAGCTGGTTGGGGGTCTGACTCTTGGTTTTGATTCTGGTCATGATCTCAGGGTTGTGAGAATGAGCCCCGCGTCGGGCTCTGTGATCAGCACAGAATCTGCTTGGTTTTCTCTTCCTCTCCCTCTGCCCCTCCCCCCACTGCACACGCTCTCCCTCTCTCTCAAATAAATAAATAAATATTTTTTAAAAAGAATATAATTATAATTGAATTAAAAGAACACTTACAATTGAGCAACAGTAGGATATCAAAACTTGTGGGATATGGTAAAGTCACATTTTTAAAAATTAGAGCCATTTGGGGTCCTTGTGCCACGGAGCCAACAGGCAGAGAAAGGAGTCACTGTATTAGCTGGGGCTATTGATGCCTATTACCAGAGGGGAGATTAAGTTGTTTCTACACCAAGAAGGTGATGTCTGGAACCACAGTGATTCATGTGTGTGCCTGATGATATTTTCTTATCCTCTAGTCTTGGTCAGTGGCAAACTGAGGCAATTCAATAAAGACAAGACTTCCAAGAACTCAGATCCCATAGAATGAAGTGTTGGGTCATCCCACCAAATAAAGGCCCCCATTTGGCCAAAGTGCTGGAGGAGAGTAAGGGAACAATGAAATGAGTGGTGGGAGGAAGTAGTCTGAAATACCAATTTAGGACCTATGACCAGCTGGGGAGGCAGTGACTATAACAACCATATTATTTAGGGGCGCCTGGGTGGCTCAGTCATTAAGCGTCTGCCTTCGGCTCAGGTCATGATCCCAGGATCCTGGGATCGAGCCCCGCATCGGGCTCCCTGCTCAGCGGGAAGCCTGCTTCTCCCTCTCCCACTCCCCCTGCATGTGTTCCCTCTCTCGCTGTGTTTCTGTCAAATAAATAAATAAAATCTTAAAAAAAAACCATATTATTTAACCTACCACTCCTCCTCCTATTTTATATACAGAATACCTGTGGCAACGAATGTTTTAGGTTTCAGTTGGGAATATGTCTGTGTTGATATTGCCCTACAATGATATTGTAGCTGATGGGACTTTCCATGCTCCCTGTCCAGGCTCATGGAATTTTCACTTGGATGAAGGACAGGAGTGGATGGTGAGGGGCAAAGGGGGTGGATTGTGCCAGATATCTTCATTTGCCCATTCTTATCTACTCCTCACTCTTCTCCACCCTGCTTTCTGCCCTAGGAATGTGACCTGTGTGGATTATAAGAGCCTAGTCCTCTGGCTTCCAGGTAGCTCTGGCCATGGGGAAACCCTGTCTCTGGGGAAGATCAGAGGGAGGAAGGAGGAGGAGGAGGATGGAGTATTTATTTCTTCAATTCTTTCCCTGCAGAGTTACTTTGGGCAGGCTATGTCCACCAAGCAAAGTCACTGGCCCTCTCACGGTGGCCCTCTGCATACAACTCTCTCCTTCCAGGTTTTGTAAACATTTCTTCTCTTTAGTTCTATGGACCCAGGAATGCAACAGGACCATGGCCCTATCTCTGGGGTATTGAGCCATTCTTTCTGGTTCCCCACATGCTGCCTCTATCTCTGTAAGTAGTTCCTTTATTAAACACCCATTGAATCATCCTAATTTCAGGATGCCATAGTTTTCCTATTGGATATTTGATGGTGAGTCAGGAATAGGAGTCTCAAATGAAGAAGCAGCATTGCAATTAAATCTCTTTTTAATGACTTTTTCCAGAGGTATTCCATTAACTTAGATTTCCTAAGAAGTCTGTTTCTGATCAGGCAATTTGCCATGACCTTCTACACGTTATTAATTGCAAACTGTTCAAGGCTATTACCTGGTCACAGATATTCACCACATTGGCAAGGAGAATGTTTTCATCTGCGTTCATCATGTCATCAGCACCATCATGGTTACTAGTCCACTCTTATCTGTACTGAACACCGCTTCAGGAATTTCCCCATCACACAAGGAATGAACAATAGATGAATCACAGAGTTTACCATTTCTTTGCTTATCAGCTCCTCTAACTTATTTACATTTTGGGCTGATCAACTTGTGCAAGAATGAAGTTTTATATCACCATCTTCTCATTACTCACAAAAAGAAGTCTTCAAAGCCCTTATGGACAGGTTCATTTTTCAAATATCACCGTAGACAGAGGCTATGTCAAGTCTCTGTGAATAATGATTTGTCAGCATCATTCCAAGTATTGGCCATTGTGTAAATAACATTCTGAAGAGTAAACTCTTTTGGGGAGTCATGGAGTCTTAGGCTCTGTGATTATAGCAAGTGCACAGTCTGAAAAGAAGTGTTTATCCTTGTTCTAAAATTCTTTGTTCTCGGGCTATAATACACATATCTCACTGGGGAGACATAAACGCTGAAACACTGGTGTTCATGAGAAATTCAGGAAGGAGGTATGCATGGCAGTTTTCCAGGAATGATGATAACATTTCATAAGTCTTTTTTTCCCAGTCCAGAATGCCTGTAATGTGTTTGCGATTGGTACAAAGTAGTTATTAGTCAGTCAGAAAACATTTCTCTGGTTACCTGTGTTGTCTTATTTGCATGATAATGGACAGTAAGTTGCATCCACCTTTCAAAGATGGCACATGGTTTTTTTTTTCCAGTGAGTTCCACACATATCCTGTGTGTCTCTGTAGGACTTGGCAAACCAAGAAGAGTCCCCAGGGTGTAACAAATTGGTGGCTGCTTATCGGCCTTTCTAAAGAGAAGTTTTCTCCCCACCACCAATTGATTGGTGTCAAAATTCAAATCAGTTAATATCATAGCAAACCCACTGATGCAATTTTCAGCAGCTTCGTTATCAGCAAAAGATTTTTCACCTCCGATTTTGACATTTTCATATTTCGGTTATACATAAAGTCAAAAATAAAGTAAAAAAATCACACACACCCCCAAAGTAACAAAGTATAAGGGAACAATAGAGGCAAGTGCGGCTGGTAAACATAACTATTTAGTTCAGGGTCAGGAACTGTCACTAAATCTGTGCCAAGTTTACACAAAAGTAGACTGTGGGTCTCTAGAGATACCCCCAACCCTGCCACCAGGCTGCCTTTTGCTTAGTAGTTGTCAGGCATATCTTCTTGTACACTTTTTCTTTCAATGTTTCCATGTCCTTAGATTTTATGTAAGTCTCTCATGTGTATGACACTTACATGGACTTAGTTTTTAAAAAATCTAATCTGACAATCTTCTAATTGGTGCATTGAGTCCATATATTGTTTGAAGTATCAAAATTATTGATATATTTGAACTTATTTTTTTACCAAGTAACTTCTTGAATCCTACTTCTTTTTTCTTTTCTCTTGCCTCTTTTTTTCCCTGAAGATTTTATTTGAAAGTAATCTCTACACCCAATGTGGGGCTCAAACTTACAACCCCAAGATCAAGAGTCACATGCTTTTCTGACTATGCCAGCCAAGCACCCTACTTCTTGCCCCTTTTTAATTGGTTTCCTTTCTTCTTATTCATTTTGACATAAATATTGGGAAATACATATGTTCTTTTCCTATTTTTTGGATGATTTTCATTGAAATTTTACCATGCACATTTAATTTGCCCAACGTTAAATAATTTTAACTCTGATTATGCATAACGTAAGCATCTCCGAATACTTTAATTCCACCTCTCCCAATGCATGTATGATTCTTAGTATCCAATATATTAATTCTGTCCTTTTTTTTTTAACTCTGGACATTAGACATTATTATTCTTATATTGAGAATGTTTCTTTGAATTTATATGCATATGTATGAGTCAGGATTCCATCAGAGAAGCAGGATCACTAGGAAAGATGTAAACAAGAGTTTTGCCTTGAGGATTGAATCTTCTTCAATCATGGGAGCTGCTTAAACCTTTTATATGATGCCATTATATCTGTGTCAGGTCTGCCAGGCAGGCTGTCAAAAATAGAAGACACGTGTGATTTATTATTTTTTTTAAAGATTTTATTTATTTATTTTGACAGAGAGAGACACAGCAAGAGAGGGAACACAAGCAGGGGGAGTGGGAGAGGGAGAAGCAGGCTTCCCACGGAGCAGGGAGCCCGATGTGGGGCTCGATCCCAGGACCCTGGGATCATGACCTGAGCCGAAGGCAGACGCTTAACGACTGAGCCACCCAGGCGCCCCGACACGTGTGATTTAAGAGAAGCAAGGACAAACAGAAACCTCCAGGTGTGAGCTGGAACCATGAGGACGGGCTGGAACCACATCAGCCTCTCACCACCTCCAAGAGTCCAGTGAGGGTGACTTGCAGAGGAAACTGGTGCCCTTTGGCACAGAGCTAAACACACATCCAGCACAGGAGCTGGGACCTGACACTGAAGGGGTTACTGAGAAACCTGCTATCATTCTAAGTGTTGTTCTTTTGTGGCAATTTCAACTTTCTCTCACTGCTTTGAAGATCTTCTCTTTGACTTTTGTGTTCTGAAACTCCAAACTGTGACCCAGCAGATATAAATATATATATATATTTATATATATATATATATCTGCAGATAAGCAACAACGTGCATGAACTGCAGCAGCAACTCTTTACTAAAAAGAAGCTTGTTGTTGCAAATATCCCCCTTCTGAATCTCTTGCAAAATGTCTCTGATGGCTCACACCAATCTGGATCCACACAGGGAAGGAAGTTCTTGGAAATATTGTATCAGCTTAGTTAAGTCAATGTAAGACAAATCCACCACAATACTTGCCATTGCTTTTGCTTATCGTATGTGCTTGCATCTCAGACTGTCCCTCAAGGATCTTTTTCTTCTTGAAGATGTACTTTAAAGATACTTTTGGTTCAAGGATCTTGGTGGCAACCTCTCAGTTTTTATCTGTACATGTGTTCATTTCACCGTCACTATTGAGATGGTTTTACTGAGCATATAATTCTTTATTGAAAGTTATTTTGTCTCCAAAATGTGGATATCATGCTATTGACTTTGGCTTCCATTGATACTGAGAAGTCTGCTTATCATGTTAATTGTTATTTTGTAGTGACCTCAACCTTCTCCAGTTTTAAAATCTTCTCCTTGACTTCAGTGTTCTTGCAGTTTCAAAATGTTGTAGCCATGGATGGACCACTTTTTATTTATCCTGCTTGTCCAGACATGCTCCTTAGACCCACAGATTTGGGTTTCTCATCAGTTTTGTAATACTTCATCTGCCATCTCTTTAAACATTGCCTCTCCATTCTCTATATTTTCTCTTTCTGAGATTCTGGTTTTTTAAAACCACATGCTATTGTTTGTATCTCTTAACTTCATTTTCATGTTCTCCAACCACTTGTCTCTCTGTGTTATATTCTGGGTAATTTCTTTGATTTTCTCTTTTCCAATGCACTGGCTTTCTCCTCTCTAATACACTGTCTAACCCACCCACTGGGTTTTCTGTTTCAGCAGGTGCACACACACACATCTGCATGTGGGTACACGCCTAAGTGTGTATGTACATTCCAGCTCTCTTTTACAAATCTGCCTGGTCATTCTCTTCAACTTGTTAGTTTTTATGCTTTGATCCTTTATTTCTCTAAACATTTTAGTCACATAGTTCAAAAACTTGTAGTCCCTGGGGCTCTAAAGCTATTGCTTATTCTCACTGCCTATTCTCACTCATGGACAGTTAGTGATCTTTGACTATGAGCTTTTGCTTCATCTAAACCCATCATCCCAGGGTGAGGACACTTCACTCCAGAGGGGGCTTCCTTCTGCTTCTGCTTGGAGGCAGGGATGTCGCTCTGTCAGGATCAACTCAGCCCTCAGCCCCAGGGCCTTGACCCATCACAAGAGTCCCTGGTCCAGGCTCCCCACATCATAGCCTCCCTGGGGTTCAAGCATTCTGACAGCAGTGCAGCCTCTGCATTTCAGAACAACCCCCACCCCTCCATGCTGTGAGTTCTGGCCCCAGCTGTGACATGGGGGGCTTGGGAGGAAGGGGAGAGGGAGGGTCACTGAAGAACCCCACTACTTCTTGTAAGGCTGTGATTCTTTGAAGAGTGTGTCTTATCTAGGGCCCCTCAATCAGTCTGGTCAGGCAACATGTTAGAAGCCAAACAACTGGATTTGCTACAATGGAGCTTTCAAGGTCTGTTGAATTTTTGTTGAGTGGATATTTTCTAGTGTGCTGTTATGGATTGTATTGCATCCCCCCCCCCAATATATGATGGAGTCCTAACCCCCAGTACCTCAGAATGGGACCTTACATGGAAATGGGATCTATAGAGAGGCAGTGAGGTCAAAATGAAGTGCTTAGGGTGGCCCTAATCCAATATGGCTGGGGTCCTTATAAAAAAAGGGAAATTTGGACACAGAGACAGACATGCACAGAGAGAAAAAGATGTGAAGAGACACAGGAAGAACGCTATGTGAATATGGAGGATGGGAATGATGCATTCATAGGTCAAGGAATGCCAAAGAATGCCAGAAAACCACCAGAAGCTAGGAAGAGGCAAGGAAGGATAGCCCAATGGGTTTCTTGGAAGCATGGCCCTGCCAACATCTTGATGTTGGTGGACAGAGCAAAGGAATGGGGCAGTTAGAATACAGGCCCAATACCAGAGCCCCCTTCCCTATATAAATGACCCCTAATTGATGCTTATTAATGAGGATTTTACTCCCTCTCCTTTCTTTCCTCAAAAGATATTGTCTTTCACAGTCTGGACCTTTGAGATGAAAGGGTTTATTTAATTCTGAGACCAAGTGTGCAGATAGACAGAATACAAGCCAAGCCGAGCCGGTCCATGGATTCAAACCAGGAAGTCTGTCCCATGCTCCCAGGCTTTCCTGGTCCTAATCTCCTCGGAGGGCTTCTTACCAAGTGTCCCTCCCTGCCCCAGGGACACCATCAGCTCAGGGGACAGTGTTGTAGACCGCGTAGTCATCCTTCTGGGTGACATGCAGCTTCCAGGGGAAGAGGTGCTTCTGGGAGGGGAGATGTTGGGCCTGCCTCACCATGAGTGCCACGTCCTCGTCTGAGAGAAGCCGCACCAGATCCCCCTGAGCATCCCGGTAATTTAGGGCGATGTCCTCCCTCTGGAACTCCCGCCTGGGTGGGAAAGACCAGGGTTAAAAAAAGATCCGGGGGCCTTAGGCCTAAGCCTCAGGGAGACAGGGAGCAGGGGCTGAGGGAGTTTTAGAGCCAGGATCTAAGAATCAGAAGAGGTCAGAGCTTGACACAGGCCTTATCACCCGTGTGGTCCATCCTCCCATTGTACAGATGGAGAAACTGAGACCTACGGGGGAGAAGGGACTTGCCCAGTAAATTAGGGGCACAGCTTGAAATGCCTTGTGTATACATGCGCAGAGCTCAGAACTGTCGTGGGGAGGAGGCGTGAGTTTGGCCAGGCACACAGTAGAGAGAATCAAGTTCCCAGAGCTAGCTGTGAACAGCTATGGGGAAGAACTCTTTAAGGATTGGGACTGTCTGATGTGGGGTGCACGAGGCTGGTGACAGTAAAAACGGATACAACCTTTCCATAGGTAACTCGACAAATGGGGTTGGAAGCCTGACAGGCTTGCAAACACCTTGATTCCAAAATTCCACTTCTAGAAACTCATCGTAAGGGAACAATCATGCCAGTCACCAAGTAGGAGAATCACAGCATTCTTTCTGGTAGTGACAAAGCGGAGGATGATCTAAACGGCCAAGAAGGGGTGGTTACAGTGATTGTGGTGCATCCCCAGAATGACATGGCACAGCCCACTGACGTCATATTTATGGGGGGGTTGGAGGTGGGCACTGAGGCCACCTGCGTGTGCATCTAATAATGAGAGGAGGCCTATCTATAGTTCACTTCTTTCTGCCTTTCTGTGATTTCTGACATCTCGTGTTTTTAAATTATGAATAGGAATTACTTTCATAGTCAGAAACAGAACAAGGTTATTTCCATTCTGGGTGAAGAGGCTGGCTCTTGGGAGGTGGTGGCTCTCTGATGGCCGAGGACCCAAGTCCAAGGCTTTTCGCTAGGAAGACTCTAGCTGTAGCTGCAAATTCACACTCATGAACTGTGTGGCCTCTTCCAAGCCCTTGTGTGTCTCTGTGCAGACCCCCACTCATCTTCGTCGCGGGGGGCTGATATCTGCCCGGCGCGCCAGGCTGGGGATAAGAGAAATGCAGAACACCTAGCGCCTTCACGCGCTGTGTTCCTCCCTCTGTCTTCTCCTCCAGGGTGTCTGACCCCTGCCCTCCGTCCTCGCCCCTCTCACCTCATGAGCTGCAGCAGGTCCTTGAACAGTGGAGTGCTGCTGAGGTCCTCCTCCACGGCGATGTCCCTAAGGGGACAACGGGCAGTGGTGAGCAGGCATCAGGTCGAAGGGGGACACGGGAACAAGGCCGGCAGGACCACGCCGGATCTTGTTACCCAGGTATGGCTTATCTGGAGGGCTTTTAGTTGGGCGAGGAGATCTGCTTTGGGTCTCAGAGCCCAGAGTGTGATGTGGGGGGTGGGGTGGGGCTGGGGGCGGGTGGGGGTTGGCCAGGCCACGAACTTGGTGGTGCTGATGGTGTCCCCATAGAAGTAGCAGCGCAGCCAGTTGGTGGGGTCTTCTTCCTCCGGGAAGTCCTTGAGGATCTTCACGAACGACTGCGGGAAGATGCCCGTGGCTCCGCGGACAGTGCCCTGGGGAGGAAAGGAGGGGCTGCGCTGTCAGTGGGAGGAGAGGGAGCAGGACCGAACCCCCCCCCCCCCCAAGCTCCCTTATCATCATGTGGACGAGGTCGTATGCAGAAGCAGAAGAAAAAGTGACAAAGGTCACCATGCTGTTCACCCCAAGACATATTTCTGTTCTAGAATAAGTCAAGATCGCACTTTATCTGGGAAGCTGCTTTCATCTAATTCAGTCTTTCATTCAGAGACTTCATGAGCACCAGCCACGTGGCAGGCCCTGGGACTCGGGGTGGATGGCAGTCCCTGCCCTCCTGCCGGGAGCACGTACTGTAATGGGTGATGGCCACTGCGCAGGAAGTAGGTGAGCTTCACGCTGAGCCAGTGGCCAGGGTGTTAAGGAGGAACCCAGATGAAGGGAGAGGAAGAGGTGGTCCCTTCACTCACTCATTCATTCATTCATTCATTCATTCCGCAGATAGCACAGAGCAGCTGCTCTAGAGCCAACGGACAGAAAGTTCTCTCCAGCCCCAGCCATGCACGACCCAGCCACCGCCTGTGTTTTGCCCACATGTTCTCTTAATCTTCACAACCCTAGAGAAGACATATTATCCCAATCCCATTTTACAGACACATAAACTGAGGCTCAAAGTAGTCCCCTCGCTCCTCCCCTGACCCTCCCCTTAACCTGAGGTCAGAAATCGGCCAGCCTACTAACATAGAGAACTTTCAAGAAAACAGGAAGGTAACAAGCACTCCCTATTTCTGGAGAGTTTCCCAGCAATACCCAGTAGCACAGGGTCCCAAGACAGGGCTCCAGGACTGGGGTACAATCAAAGCTGCCAAGTCCGTGAAACCCATGGTCCTCAGGCCTCTCTAGCCCCTGGACGCCAGGGACCCTGCCCTCCCTGGAGTCCCCCTGGGGCCCGTCCCACCATCTCCTTTAGACACCTCCTGCTTCAGGAGCCTCAACAAAAGGGAATCTTGTTTAAGAATAGCAGGACCCAATCCAAACAGCTGGAACCAGGGCCAGGGCCTCCCATCTCCATTCACCGAGTCAATATGAGCCCCCGTAGGGGCCAGCCATGTCGCACGTGGGGACGAAGCAACCATCGAGACAGGGCCTGGCGTCGAGAGTCTCATTTCACCTTCCCAGCAGCCCCGGCACCAGCCAGATGGGTGCATCTAGGCCCTCTATGGGCCAAGCCCCCAACAGCTGCGCCTCGGTCAGCCCTCCCAGGGCCGCGATGAAGAAACTGCCCGACAGCTATCTCCATTTACGGAAAAGGAAACCACAGGGTTGAGCAATGTTCCCAGGGACGCAAAGCTAGTTAAAAGCAACTAGGAAATGACACGACAGTCTGACTCCAGAGCTCAAGGTCTGCATCACTATCTTTTCTCGCTGCCCGCAAGGCATCCCAGATGACACACCAGTGAGTCTCAGCTGTGGGTGATTTTGTCCCCCAGAGCCAAATGTCTGGAGACACCTGATTGTCAACTGCAGGACTGCTACTGGCGTCTAGTGAGCAGAGACCAGGGATACGGCTAAACCCCTTACAATGCACAGGATGGCCCCACACCAAGAACAATCTGGCCCCAAATGTCAACAGTGCCGCGGCTGAGAAACCCCGTGATAGACCAAGATATTAAACTCAGTAGATTAACCGACTTGCCTGAAGCAACTGTTTGTTGGCATCAGAACCAAAGGCAAGTGTGGTCTCCAGAATCTTCTGTTCCAGTCACACACCTGTCTCCCACCCAGCTGCCCCCACCCAGCTGTTCTGATTTCCAGGACTATCTTCAGAGGGCATCTCTTCCTGGAGCATTCCTTGACTCTGTCCCCTCTGATTTCCCCCACAACCAGACCCAAAACAACCTCACTTCCAACTTACCTCCAACCTCACCCCCAACCTCACCCTTATCCTCATTCCCATGCATACCTCCACACTTAACCCCATCCTCAGCTCTAACCTCACCTCCAACCTTATCCCCATTCTTAGCTTTAACCTCACCTCCATCCCCACCCCCATCCTCACCCCCAATTTCACCCCCATCCTCATCACCATCCTCACCTCCAACCTCACCTCCAATTTCACCCCATCCTTATTCCCATGCATACCTCCAATCTTATCGCCATCCTCAGCTCTAATCTCACCTCCAACCTTATCTCCATCCTCAGCTTTAACCTCACCTCCATCCTCACCTCCAACTTCACCCCCATCCTCACCCCCATCCTCACCTCCAACATCACCTCCAACTTCACCCCCATCCTCACTTCCATCTTCACTCCCATCCTCACCTCCAACATCACCTCTAACCTCACCCCCATCCTCACCTCCAAACTTACCTCCAACCTCACCCCCATCCTCACCTCCAAACTTACCTCCAACCTCACCCCCATCCTCACCTCCAAACTTACCTCCAACCTCACCCCCAACCTCACCCCCATCCTCACCTCCAACCTCACCTCCAACCTCACCTCCATCCTCACCCCCATCCTCACCCTTAACCTCACCCCCATCTTCACCCCACCCTCACCTCCAGCCAGTCTTTATTGATCCGACTGAGAAGGATGATCACATCTCCAACTTTGAAATTCAGTTCCAGTTTGCTGTTGCCAGTGAAGTCAAACAGGGCCTGGGAGAAGAGTGGAGTAGGGCAGGAGGAAGGGAGCATTCATTGAATTCCTACGAAACTGCTTTGCATACTTCAGCATCCCAGTTAACAGATGAGGAAACTGGCTCAGGGAGCATGACTGACTTGTCTGAGGCCACTCCATTTGTTAGTGGAGGAGCCAGAATTAGAATCCAGGTCTCTCTGACTCCAGAATGGTGCTCCTTTCAGACCTGGTGGGATGAGCACAGAGAGGCAAGGATCCAAACTCCCTGGGTCGAGCACCTTCCTCAGCCCACCCAGGCCTCAGTGTGGGCTCCAGTGCTCCCATAAGCCCAGGGCACTGACCACACTGTTTCTACATGTGTGTCCCCGGGGAGCTGGGACCTCCTTGAGGGCAGGGCCTGGTTTGAGTCACCTCTGACGTTTCAGTCGCCAGGGTGGGGCTGGCCTGGAGGAGGCCAGGAAAGCTTGCTGAATGGATGACGGATGGCTGCATTCCCCTCTGCCTGAGTGCTCCCCATATCACCTCCTGTCAGCTGGGTTGGGCGCCCTTAGGGCCGAGTCTGAGGCCCCTCCAACCCGCAGCACCCAGCGCCATTTGTGGGCACATTGAGGGCGCCCAGGAGGAGGGGTGCAGTGGCGAAGGGTGGAGCCCAGAGGTGAGGTGGGAGGCCTGGCCCAGTGGAGGTTACCTCTGCTCGCGGAGCTGCCATGTGGTCAAAGATGGCGCCTTGTGGGGACTCACTCTTGCTGCAGAGAGAAAAGGAAGGCCCGTCAGCCCTTCTGGTTCCCTCAGGGCCTGGCTCCCTGCTTCTGTCCCCAAAGCAGCCCCTCATCAGGGGCAGGAAAGGCAGGGAAGGGAGAGGATGTTAAAAATGCAGCTACAGTTGCTCTCTGGGCCATCTCTCTCACACACACACACACACACACACACGCACGCACTGGTTCCCACTGCCCATGGGGGAGGGACTGTATCCCCTTTGTGGAAACAGAGACTCAGCAAGAAGGTGGGGAGGAAGATACACATTTGCTCAGCACCCTAACTTGTCAACCCTTTCACATCTGTTCTTCCTTCTACTTCCCACACCCAACCTCTCATTTTTCAGCTAAGGAAATGGGTTGGAGAAGCCCTCTGTGCCAGGGCTCGGGGCACAGGGCTGCCGCGTGGCTCAGCTGGAATTGAGGCCTGCCTGCGTGCCCCGGGGAGACGGCTAGGCACCGAGAGGACACTCAGAGATACTAGCCTGAGGAAGGAGGGAGGCCCTGGGAGGGAGGCCGGGGCTCAGGAGCACTGTCCCTGGAATTCTTAGCAGCGACGGCCTGGCCTCTGGAAGCCCAGCCCTATCACAGTGGCTTGGATTTTCTGTGATTATTTTCTGCTTAGGAGGGAGCTGGAAGGGAGTGGTGGGCTCTTCGGAATCAGTGAGGAAGAAGCAGTGTCCCCTGGGGGCCCGTGTGATACACCAGAAGCCACAGACAGCCCCATGGAACTGCATGACCGGGGGACCGGGCATCCCAGGATATACTCTGGGAATGTCTGTGGAGAGAGCAACTCCTCCCTTCCCTGCCACTCTCCACTCTCTCCAGGCACCCCGAGTCCTGAGGCATCCCCACTGGGGACTGGGACACCCAACTCTCCCCATCAGTGGCCCAGCCCCTGTCCTCCGGTCCTCACTGTCACACACATCAAAATGTACCCACCTTCTATCCCTCCAGGCCCTGTGCTCGATTTTCCAAGCTCACCTAACAAGCTGAACATCCTGGGGTATTCAGGGATAGAACTGATGTCTAGTTTTTCTCTTCTTCCAGGGAAAAGACGTACCTTGGCCGTGGGGGCATCTGGGACAGAGCGCCCAGTTAGGAACACCTGGTAAGGGGCCCAGGGCCTGGCCCGCGGGAGCGCAGCGGCCGGTCACTTACACTTTCCGGGTACGCGGCCGGAGCCGGCGCAGTGCTTGGGGCACCTGCTCTGAGTCATAGGACGACTGGTAGAAGAAGATCCGGACGTCCTCATTCATCAGCACCCAGATGGGCAGGCTGAGGAGGCTCTGCATTTGGGAGAGGAGGCAGGACAGGGGGGTGGTCAACAGAAAGGTCTGGACATCCCAGCCCCTCTGCCCCATCCCCATCCCCCACCCTGGTCCCGCTCTTTCTAGTACCGCTTTCTCTGCCTGATCACACAAACGACATATTTCATTTCATACAAGACATGTAACGTTTCAGAAGCTTTCCTCCCGGGTTCAAGATCAGGAGGGGACCAACTGGCTTGAGGACAGTTCATTTGGAGAAAACCTAAAGGCCTCCAGACACAATGATAATGGTAATGGCAGGTAAAATGACGTGGAGGTGACTGTCCAGGCACCACATTGAGTGCCACACCAGGTGACCTCGCTCCATCTCACAACAACCTGAAAGTTAGTGCCAGAGAGGTTAGGGGACCTGCCCGAGGCCGCCTGGCCTAGCGAGTGACAGTGCCGGGCCACCCAGAGCCATCTGCCACGAGGCCCAGCCCTGAGATAAAATATCAGATAATAGTGGGAGGAAGGATACCTCAAATGACCCAAACCAACAACAGTTGGTGGTATTACAGCCCAAAAAGTGCTTTCTGATACTTGATCTCATACACAGTTGGGGAAACTGAGGCTCAGAGAAGCAAAGGACCTGACCCAGTTGGCAGAGCTAGGAAGCAGTGGACCTGGGACCCTCACTCAATCTCATGTTGGTTACACCCACCACTAGGCTCTCCGTGAGGACGCAGAGTCCCCAGACCCTGGCAGTCATTCCCCCCAAACTGCACAACGCACAGGTCCCCGGGAATACTCCAGAGGCACCTGGACCCCCTCGGAGAATCCCATGGAGGCAGCAGGAAGGGGGGGACCTGGAGGTCCATCCCGGAGGAACTGGGAATGCAGAGCCCGGAAAGGACATGGCTGTCATCTGGGGAGGGCTGGGAGGTAGCCCAGAGATGGGTTTAAGGGCACAGACACTGAGCCAGGCTGGGGCCTGGGATCAAATCCCACTCACCAGCTGGGTGACCGTGGGCAAGCGAGCCTCCGTACGCTCATTAATAAAGTGGGGATGATACTAGCGTCTGCCTTGTGGGATGGCGTAAGGATTGAATGAGTGACGTGCGCACGACACTTAGAACACCACCAGGCATCTAATCTAACAGGTGCACCGTCAGAGCTGGCAAAGATCGCTGTCACTGTGGCTTTCGTTACAACATAGCACAGTGGGTACACAGAGCCGCGAGTTCGAATCCCCAACCCTCCTATCCAGCTGCTCTACCCCACGGAGTGAGTGGCTCCACCTCCTCGTTTGTGAATAGGGTGAATGGCATCTAACTCACAAGTTATTGAGAGAAATAACCAAGCCTATTCGTTTATCCTACAAATGTATATCGAGAGCCTCCCGGCTGCCGGTCAAAGCACCCCACATCGTTCCAGGCAGGGGTCGTTATCACACGACCCATATTCTCCATGAGGACAGTGGGGAGACTGGTGGGTGGACGTTACAGGGAATCAGATTTTTCTAATAGCTGTCCGACAGGGGACGAGCAGGGAAGCGTGGTAGTGAGCTCCCCGTCCCTGAACCTTTCAAGCATAGGCTGGGGTTACCCATAGCAGAGATTCCTGCACCGATTGACTCCTGGGCTTTGAGGAACCAAATCGGACAGAAAGGATGGGATTCCTCCAGGTGTGGGAGGAAGAGCCCCAGCTCCATGGCCTCATCCCTCCCTCCAGAGCTCACTCCTCTCCAAGCCCTGCAGGGGGAGAGAGGAGCCTCCAGCCACCCCAAAGGAGAAGCTGTCACAGCACCCCCTTGAGGGGAGATGCCTCCATTGCTGTGGCCCAGGGGCTTCCCACAGTCCCTCTTCTCTGCTCAGAGCCCAGGATTCCTGCAGCCACTGGAGAGGGCTGGGGCTTCTCCTCCTGCCTCCCACCTCCCACTGCTCACTCTACTAGGAGTTATGATCTCTCACATTCTGGAAGCTCCCAACTTCACTCCCCTCCCATGAGACCAGCGAGCTGGAGGGACGGCCGTATTTCATAGGTGAGGAAACCAAGGCCTAGAGAGGATGAGCCACTCGCCCCAAATCACCCAAACAGTCAATGTCAGAGTGAAGACTGAAGACTCCTAGCTCTGTGCCCTTCAGCCATGAGAGTAGAAGAGGAGGGGGAGCCCTCGCTGGCTGGGAGGGTGCCTCTGTGCTATGAGGAGGGCTTCCCTCTCCAGTTTCCTAAGGTTGCCATCAAGCCATGGCTTGGATGCCTCTAGTGACGGGGTGCTCACTACCTCATGAGGAACACTGTCCCTTTCTTGCACAGTCCTGATTGGTAGAGGGCCTTTCTTGACCAGCTGGTCTCTGCCTTCAAGGTGCTTCTGTCTCTGTGCTCTCATCTCCTAGGGATGCAGACAGTTTACAGGTTGGGAAATACCCAAGGGCCTTTCTCTAGTTTGTACAAAGGCACTCTGTGAGAGAGCTGAGGCCCTGGCGCATCACGCCTCTGTTACATAGGCCATGGTTTTGTGATTTCGTGACCCACCTGTCCTTCTCCCCACTGGCCAGCAGGTACCTTGAGGGCAGATACTGTATCCTATTCACCTCGGTATCAGAACACCTGGCAGACACCAGAGTTGTCAATTCAAAGTGTGGTTCCTTGTACCTTCTCCATTGCTTCTGCCTCTCTGCCTGGAGCCCCCAGAACACATCCTGTTTCTCTCCCCAGGGGAGAAGATTAAGGTTTGAAGATGGGGCCCATCGGAGCAGGAGAGCCAGCTCCCAGGCCACATTCAGGGGTGCTACCTTCCCAGGGGCCCTCCCAGGTGCCAAGGTGACCCACCGCTACCTTCATGTAGGCGTTGAGGGCGGGTATCCGCATCTCCGCAATCTCTTGTTTCACACCCATGTAGACTTTGGCTGTGGAAATGCAAAGAGCTGTCCTGGGAGCCTGGGCCAAGACTACGGTCTCTGGGCTCTAAGCCACCCACCCAGGCCAGGAATCCTCCCCACTGGCTCGGCCGTGCTGAAGGGGCCACCCCACCTTTCAGCTTGCATTCTCTGGGCTTACTGTCGCCAGCTGATATTTTCCTTGTTTTACTTATTTATTGCCTGTTCCTACACGTGCGCGTGCACACACACACACTCACGATTCTTGGCTCCAAGAGAGGAGGAGCTTTGCTTTGCCCACAGCTGAGTCCCATCACCTAGGATGGGGGTCCTCAACCCCAGCTGCACATTTAAGTCACCCAGGGAGCATTTAAAAATCTCATTATGTAGGACTTGCCCCAGAATTATTAAATCAGAATCTCTGGGGGTGGGACTTGGGCATCAGAATTCTCTAAATCTCAAGGTACTTCTAATATGCCCCCCAAGGTCTAGAATAGTGCCCCCTACCAATCCATATTTGTAGAGTAGATGAATGAATCATTCCTCAAAAGCAAGGCAGCGTGTTTAGGGAGAAAGGGAAACAGATGATGGCTGACCCAAGACAAATGTCCTCTCCAGAGGCCTTAGGCGGGGGGGGCCTGGTAGAACCATCCCCTGAGAACCCCCAGCAGAAGGCAAACAAACGTCTGGCTCTGTTGCCTGTGAGCTGGGCAAGGGCTGGTGTCCAGCAGGAGGGCAGCATCTGAGGTCTGGGGTAGAGAGGCCTTTAGGACTTAGCAGCAATAAGAGAGCAGTTAATCAGAGGTCAGATTACCTGGTTGCAGGGAGGGTGCTGGGAGGGAGAAGAAAGCAGGGGATGGGGCTGCAGAGAACGCCTAAGAACCTTCCCAGAAGCATCAGAGAGGGTAGATTCTGTAAGGAGCTGGAGGAGCAGCTGGTGAGGTAGGAAGAGACCTGGGAGGGGGTCAGGGAGAGCTTCCCAGAGGAGGAAGCAGGAAAGTGAGGCCGGGATAGGCCCACAGAAGTCCGACTTAACAGGTTACGGGCCACCATCCCAAGGGGAATTCAGTGGGGCAGTGAGAGCAGAAACCAAGCTGGTGGATGAGCAGGGGAGGAGAGGGGAAAAGGGGGACAGTGAGTGACTCCTAAAAGAAAGGAGATTTTGAGGGCCGTCGGGGGTCAAGGGGGCTTATGGCCGGAAAGCCTCCTCGTGGCACAGGCTTGTCTAAAGACAGGAGAACTGAGGTTGTGGGAGAGCCTGGCAGAGTCCAAAATAAGGGAAAGGCAAGCTTTTTGGGGGAAAGCTGCCGAGGAGGGAAGGGCAAAGCTCCCTGGAGCCTGGCGGGGAGGCGGGCTCAGAACAGGAGGGTCCCCCTTCCCCTGCAGCCCAGAGACAGGGAAGGGGCAGGTGCGAGTGGAAGTGGCTCCGGAGGAGAAGAGAAGCCAGGAGCCCCTGGGGGACAGCTTCAGCTCCTCCGGGAGCTCTGCCGGGACAGAGAGAAAGCAAGAGCAAGAAGGAGGCAGAGTGTGGAGCCTGAAGAAGGAAAGGTCAGGAAGCGTCTCTGCTATTTGTGGGAAGGGTGCTTGTATGCGGCCTGCAGGGTGTGGGGGGCACCCCGAGACCACCCCACGGACCCGGCACCCCAACACTCCTGCAGGGCTCCGGAGGGCAGGCACCGAGCAGCTAGAGATTTGGGCCTATCCGAGGGGCATGTGTGGACTGAGCTGGGGAGAGAGGCCAGGAGGCAAGGGGTGAGCGGACTGCCCGGAAGCAAAGATGGGGTGCCCACAGCGTCCCAGCGGAGGAGGGTAGGAGGGGGAGAACTGTGGGAGCTGGGTGGCAGTCAGAGGGCCGCTCTCAGACAGGGCTGCAGGGGGCGCTGAAGGTGAGTCTGCGCGCGATGCACAGGGGATGGATGGCTGCAACAGGGTGGCCAGGAGGTCAAGGGCGACGAGGCTGGAGGCGGCAGCCTGCGACTGCCAGGAGGGGCCACGGACGGATGGTTGGCATGGAGGCAAACCCGGAGTAACCCCCAGGAGCTGGAAGCAGAGGCCGAGGGCCACAGCTCTGTCGTGTGGCAGGACGCCCGGCTCCCCGGGCTGCAGGACTGGGACGGCCACCTACCTGGGAGCACGGGCAGGTTGCAGGTGAACGGGCTGGTCTTGTTCTCTGGCCCAAACCGCTCCTCCAGCTTGCTCTGCAAGGCATAGAACTGGCGGTAGCGGCGGTAGATGAGGTACTTGGATCCCCCTTTAGTCTTCACCTCGATGACAAAAACCTAGGGAGGACACAGGCCAGGGTGTAGGGAGGCCGGGGGCAGAGGAGGGTGGGGGTTTGAAGGTCCGAGAACTAGAGCAATGTTTCTCAACCTCGCTATTCTGCGGGGGGCCAGCTACTTCTTTGGGGGGGCTGCCCTGTGCGATGGTTGGTGCCGAGCAGCCTCCCTGGGCTCCATCTCCCAGAGGCCAGCAGCACCCCCGGCCCCAAGCTGGAGTTGTCAAAAATGTCTCAAGATATTTACTACGAAATCGCCCTGTTGAGAAGTTAAGGGGATGAGAGAGTTGGAGGTTTGGAGGTCAGAAGCTGAAGGTTGGGGGGCTGTCTTACAAAATAGCTGGTGAAGCCCCTCTTCTCCTCGATGTCCGCGATGTTGGCGGAGACCACAATGTCGTCGGGAAGCTGCTCAAAGTCGCTGAGGGAGACGGGAGGGAAAGGAGCCTGGTTACCACCTGATGGGCTCACTGGGCCGAAGTGGGCAGAAATGAACCAAGAGTGTGTCTGGCATTCCTTGGTCAACACTGCTTCCGGAGCCAGGCCGGGGCACGGACCGGACACTTGGAGACAGGGCCGTACATCAGCAGCCATATTACGGGCAAGCGAATCACTCTGTGGCTGCGTTATTCATCCAGGAGCAGCGCATCAAGTAACGTCCATCATGTCAGACCGTGGGCAAGGCTCTGGGTCATGCAGGGAGGAACAAAGTCAACGCATGTCCCACAGAGAGAATAGTTCATCATGCCCAGGCTGGGAAAGTCCTCACAGAGGAGGATGTGGTGTTTGAACCAGGTCTAGAAGGTCAAACAGAAGGTCAAAGGGGAATCCACCAAGTAGGCCCAGGGGGTTGGGGGAGGGTCTTCCAGACAGTGGGAACAGCATATGCTAAGGTTTCAAGGCGCGAGAAGTGGGCTTGGGTCTAGTGTGACTGGAGTTAGCTGTGATCGGAGACTGAACAGGCAGGTGAGGCCAGGTTGAGGAGGGGCTCCAGTGCTGAGCTAAGTACCTCCCGTAGGCAACAGGGAGCCATACAAGGCTTCAGAAGAGAGTAAAAACAGTACGATCCCAGCCTATGGAGGCCAACTCAGGCAGCTGTGTGCAGAGGAAAGGGAGGACAGAGACGGAAGGGACAGATCAGCACTTTGAGGCCCCGGAGTGGTACAGCTGAGAGATGGTGGGGGCTGAGCCAGACACAGAGATGCAACCCTTGGTGGACACTGTGTCATTGTCGTGTCCTCTGCTTCTTCCTGCTAATCAAGCTCCATTTTTTTTTAGGGTGGCAATGTGCCTAGCCTCAAGGTGATAGGCCATGATTGGTCTGAACCAAACCTAATAATCTCATTCCTTTTCCCAGCCTCCCCTACAGCTAGGACCAGCCATGTGATCAGTTCTGACCAATGAGACCTAAGAGGAAATCTGCATTGGGACCTCTCCAGGAGTGTTTGCTTTCCTGATCCAGAGGGAGGGGCAGGCCAGCATGGGTTTCCTCACCTTCCCCCTTCTGCCTACCTTGGAAGTAGGGGTGCCATCTGGACCCACAGCAGCCACATTGCCTCCATGAGGCAAAGACAGGAGGAAGACCAAAGGAATCTCTGGGATTCTGGTCCTGAGGTCACTGAACTGCAGCAGCAGCTGTGGCCTGCCTCTGGACTTCTTGTCATGTGCACAAATAAGTCCCTGTTTGTTTAAGCTCCCACGAGTTCCTCAGTGCCCTGCAGACTTACACATTTCCAGCAGACACGCCGCCAATCTGTGAGTCATTCCTGACCAATGGCCAGCAGTGTTTGGGGACTGTTTGGATTTGGAGGTGAGAGAAAGGGCAGTGTCGAGAGTGACACCTACATATCACCCATCTCCTGCCCAGGATGGGTGGGAGTGGAGGAGTGCTGACGGACTGAGTTTCGAGCACGCTAATGTGAGTCCCTTGGGCCCCCAGGTCGAGGTCTGGCAAGAACTCTTGTGACTCTGGCGCTCAGTGGGGGCAGTTGGGGATGGGGGTGGGGGTGGATCTCTGCTGGAGTCGGGGAGGTACCATGTGCCCGTGACCGGTGGTAAAGACCGCCCCCCCGGAAGAGCGATCTGTGAGCAGAGGGGGCTGAGAGGGACAGGTGGAGGACGAGAAAACAGACAGCCAAGGGGACAGAGAAAGAGTAGCCAGGGGTCGCCGAGTCCTGAGCAACTGGGAGACAGGGTGGGAGTGGGGGCGGGGCTGCCACATTCGCAAGCTGGCCAGGCCCTCGGGGAGATCGGTTTCCCAGTCTGCACACCCAGTCCCAGCTGCTGCGGGTCCCCACATGGCCTGGACTGCGTGGGACCTCCGGCTACCTCAGGACACTGGCAGCTGCCACTGCGGGGGGGGGGGGGCACTCAGGGTGGCAATGGATAAGCAGAGGAAATCCCCACCACTTCCCGAGCAACTTAGTGGCCACTGGCAGCCTCCCCACTCACTTTCCACACATGACCCCATGGCAACACCCTTGGGAGAAGCTTCCTCCTCCACTTTCTCCCCAGGGGCTGTGCATCTCATGGTTATTTCATCTGCAATAGGATGGGGGTGGGGGCGGACAGGAAGGAAGGAACCAGAGCATAGAAATGGCCCTGGGCAGGGACTCGGCCAGGTTGGGTCATAACTACACTTAACAGTTCCCTGAGTATGCGCTATGCACCAGATGCTCTTCTGGTACCTTTTTACAGACAGGGAAACTGAGGCACAGGGCGGTTACAGAACCTGCCCAAGTAAATCAAGAAGCTAGGATCTGAGCCTAAGCAGAATTTCGTTCCCAAACACCGCCCCACTGCTCCTAGTTTGCTGCCCCAACAGCTCACTGCACACACATAGACAAATCCCAGCCCCCCCACCTCAGTTCCCCCACCTGAGGTAATAATAGTAATAATAATAATAATAATAGCAAACCCTTGATAGCACCTAGCGTAGCTCACATATTGTTCTAAGCACATTTGGACATGGCCTCTGCCCTCCTGGGTCTCATGGCTGAGTGAAGGAGTTTGACACTAAACAAATAACAGCATCGTTTCAATGGTCAGGGAGGCTGTGAAGGAAAAGCAAATGGTGTTTTGAGCCATCCTAGAGCCTGGCCATTATTATAATCCACCCCCCCCCCCACAACCGCCACCCCACCGAGAACTAGTAGTGCAGTGGGCAAGAGAGTTTGGCAAGCAGGCACTTCGAAGATGGGGCTTACATCCATCAGAGAGAAAAGCAGGGTGCTATGCATGCCCGAGGTTCATGGCTCACTCAGACGGAGGGTGGTCAGGGAGGGCTTCCTGGAAGAAGGGGGGCCGGGTCAGCAGGAGAAGCAAAGAGGAGTTGGCCACAGGATGACAGTCAAGGGAAACTAGAGTCAAAGGCTCTAGCCATGCCAGAGGGGACAAGTGCAAGGAACTTCAGGGCGGGGGCTGTCTGAGCGCAGCCAGAACACAGAACGAGAGGCGGAAAGTAACGTGAGACACTGGCAGGGCCCATCACAAAGGGGTGCTGGGCGAGGGAGGCTTTCACTGGGATGGCATGGGTCAGGAGGTCTCATCCATAACAAGTCCAGCCCCAGATTCCCCACAAAAGCAGGGACTCTGCCCACTGCTGCAGCCCCAGGGCCCAGAACAGCACCAGGCACATAGTAGGTGCTCCATGTGGGGCCACCCCACGTGTCTTAGCAAGTCCTCTGGTGGTCAGCATGGGAATGGCCTGGCTGCCTGCTGGGGGCTGAGGCAAGAAGCTGCTACACCAGGGCGGAGGCAGGGGTGCAGCAAACCCGACTGGAAATCCTCCCCCGAAGAGCCACTCCCCTGGAGATCTCAGCCAGGACCCCTCAGAGCTGAAGTCAACTCAGGGCCTTCTACGGCCGGGCTGCTCTGGGTTCATACGCGCCCATGTTATTCATGCAAAGTCCACTGTGGAGCCTGGATGGGAGGGGCTGACTGAGGCCTGGAAAGGCCCTCAGGTGGCAGCTAGGTCAGGTTTCGTGGCTCCTGCAGACAGCAGGCGCTCAAAACATGTTTGTTGGAATCAGACTCACTACCCCAAGGCAGTCCGTTCGAACTTTGGACGTCTGGGGTCTGGGGTCTTAGAAAGTCCTGCTGGACCCTCACCCCCATTTTCCGTCCTTCGCTCTGGCTTCAAGCAGAGCACATCCAGGGCACCTGAGGGGCAGGGAGGCCAGCGACCCCAAGACCCGGCTCCATGGCCCCATGAAGGGAGGCAGGAGGGCACCCATTCCTCCCCCTCCAAGGGGCAAAAGGGTGGCTGAGAAGAAGCAGGGAGTGGGAGGGAGGGAGCGCACCGTCGGGGACAGGGGGTGGCTTTGGTGGGCGTCCTGCCTTCTGACATTCCCTGACAAACAGGAAGGGCCACGGGCCTCACACGGCAGCCACTTCCTGTGTGTTCGTGCGTTCGGCTCAGTGTCCCCTGAGAACCTGTGGGGAGGAGAACCTGGGGGGCAGCCCCAGCCCCCGCACCGCCCTCCGGCTCACCAAGGCCCTTCCTGACTACCCCCCCGCCCACCGACCTTCAGCCTTTGGCAATTCCACCTCCAGCCCCCAGACTCCACCGTGGACCCTTTGCTGCCCACTTTGACCTAAACCAGCCTGACCCATCTCACAGTGGGCACGCTCTCTTTCTGATGTCACCGGCTCTTCCAACCCAGGGCAGGAGCCAAGCCCTGTGTCCTCAGGTCCCCTACAGCTCAGGGCGCAGTCTTGCTGAGAGATAGGCCCTGGTGAGGCTGTGCTCCAGGTGACTCTGAGGAAGTACTTTATCCTCCTTGGTCCTCATTTTTCTCATCAGCACCATGACAGGATTGGGCTAGAAGGATCCAAGGACCTTGTCTAGTTCAAAGATCCATTCACCGATTCACTCATCCGGCAGCATTTCCAGAGCATTTAGTCCGTGCTGGTGTTGTTCTACGTACTGAGGATACAGCAGTGATGGGGGGACAAATACCCTCATGGGGCCTGCTGATGGGAGAGCCAGTGATACAGAAAACAAACGAGCCAGCATAGAATATTATGCAAGTGGGCTAAGGACTCTGCAGAAAAGGGAAACAGGGCGAGCCGTCAGAGAGCAATGTAGGGACTGTGAGGGAAGACTTCTGACATTTGAGCCAGGCCCCAGATAAAGAGGAAGAAGCCAGATCCTGTGATTCTGTTTGAACAGAAGATGGAAAGCCATCTTCTAGCCTGGGACCCAGGACACCAGTGCAGACTCCACACCCACTCCTGTGTGACCCTGGGAAAATCACTTGCCCTCTCTGAGCCTCCATGCCTTCATCTGTGCCTGAGGGAAGTGAGCCACGACTGGAGCCTTCCTTGAAACACTTCTGAGAATCAGCATTTCTGAGCTTTCGGGTTCTGACTCAGCTCCAGCCTCTTAGCTTTTATGACCTCGATAAGGGGCTGCAGGAGGGTGGGCCTCTGTCCCCCAAGGCCCTACGGGAACAGGGAGGAGGCCCAGGGAGGGCACTGCCCCCACACTCACCTCTCGGCCCGCAGCTGCTGGGCCAAAGCCATGGTCGTCAGTGCTCCCGGGGAGAGGATGGCAAGAGTCTCACCTGGCCAGGCCCCGAGGCCGAGTTCACCTCTCACTCACCTCTAGCCACCCTGTGTCTCTGCTGTGGTCCCAGGAGTTCCCAAGAGCCACCCCTGGGGAGGCCCCACCCCTGCCTCTCTCATTTAGAAGAGGCTCCTCCTCTGGGCTCTCTAGGTCTAGCCCTGGGCCCACACTTCCTCTTTCACACCTCCCAGCTGCACTGCAATTGGGGAAGTGCCCACCCTTGGATGCTGGGTTTGCAGGAATCCACTGACTCGGGGGCTTTGAGGATGTCCTCGATGTACTTTCTTGGAGCTGGGCTGCCATTGGGCATCAGAGAGCTCCATTCCATCAGAGACAGGGTCCTTGTGCTGGCTCAGCCACCAAGGGGCCTCGTGAACTTGGAGAGTCTCTTCTCATCCTCTGGCTCATCACGCCCAACCCTCTCACTCTCACTACCAAGCCTTTGCCCAAACTATTCCCGAGGCCTGGAGTGCTGGCTTCCACCTTGCCTGTCATCCCTCAGGCTCTGGGCAAATGCCACCTCCTCCGGGAAGCCTCCCTGGTTTCCCCAACAGAATTAGCACTCAGTTGCCTCTGTCGTATAGAGTGTGAATGTCGGTTTATGCTTCTGTCTTCTCCTTCCCCAGGGCTCTGGGCTAAACTCTCCTCATCCCTAGATCCCCAGGCCTGGCACAGCCAGCCGGTCCTTGTTGGATCTGCCAACCACAGTGAACTCTATGTTACAAACCTGATCATACCTTTTCCTGCTTAAACTCTTCAACTGCTTCGCCTTGCACTTAAGGAGAAAGTGCAAACTCCTGGTCCTGCCTGCCTCCAGTATTCAGGGGACGCTTCTGGCTGGTGATTCCATGGGTCCTCTCACCGGTATGGCTACTGGATTCTGAAGGGAGCTCTCTGAGAAGTCCACAGCCACACCCAGTAACCCCCAACCCATCACACACACACTCACACACTCTCATCCACACTCAGCGCTCACTCATGCATTGCAGATGCAAAGCAGAACAGCAGAGAGAGAGTAGAGATGAGAAACAGCCATGCTTTGCCATCCATGGGCATCACAGAATGGGGCCTTCTGACTCCATCTGTCCCAAACCCATGCCATAGCAGTGCCCCTAGGACTGGGACAAGGGTCTGGGGGGACAGAGCCAGCTGCATGGAGGCCAGAGCCAGGGTCTCCTACAACAGTCCCTTTGTTACCTCCCAGATGAAGGGACTGGGGACAGGAGCATTCTCAGGATCCCAAGGGCTATCTGGCTATAAGAATGGAGGGCGATTGGCAACCTCAAGCCCTTCCTCTGAACCTCATCCCTGCTCCAGCCAGCCACCCCATGGCACCCGCTGCCCCAAAT